TTATTATGAAATTTTAAAAAATTTTCGGGCCTTTTCGTTAGGGTTTTTTTTTTTAGAGTTAGGTTAGGGTTTGAGGGTAGTGTTTTTAGTAAAAAAGTATATGTGAATTTTAGTTGTTATTATAGATTTAAATTGGGACCCTAAATTTCAGCTCAGCATAATCCCCGACATTTAATATTGATTGATTAAAGCAGCTAGTTATCCCGATACATGATTAAATTTTCAGATTAAAAGCACCACTTGAAACACGAATAAACAAATTAGATAAATCACAATTACAAACATGATAATTCTATGCTCTGTATGAGACTATTTATTAATATAAGAATCATTTTTCTTAATAAAGAAAATAAACAGCTAATGAATATATAACATAAAAAAAATAAATATACACGAAAATGTATATTAATTTTTAGTTCTATAAGACACTTTAGTCATAAGAGGATCCTTCATTGGTAGTGTAATGGCATCTTTAAATTCCGGCGGTGATTTTTGTCCGGGTACCAATTCAAACTTAAATTTTTTCAACAACATTACTACAAGTGTTATTACTTCAAGAGTTGCAAATTGCTGTCCCACACTACATAATTATTAAATTAAATTTTAAAAGCTATCATACAACATATAAAATAGAATCATGTACAATACTAACCAGGTTCTAGGTCCAGCATGAAAAGAAGCAAATTTAAATTTACTTGGTTTTAAACCATCCTCCGACTCTAAAAATCTTTTAGGGTTGAATTGTTTAGCGTCTTCTCCCCAGATTTTTTCATCTCTTCCCATTATAAATAGATTATATTCCACAAAATCTCCTGCGAATACTGGAATATTATTAGGCAAAACATTATCCTTAACGCACATCTTTTGTTTGTAAAAATAAAAAAAATAATAATAATAAGTTAATAAAATAAAGATTTTCATAAAAACATAGCAATAATTAAATTTAATATAATTAAATACCCTTCCATTTACTGGAACAATAGGATATAACCGAAGAGTTTCATAAAACGTAGATGTGGTATATTTAAATAATTTAATATCGTCATATGATGGGATGGACGTTTCCACTGAGAGAATTTCGTTAATTTCTTGAAGTAATAAATTTTCAACAGATTGATTCGCCATGATAAAGTACATCATCCAAGATAGAGCCTATTTAACTCAAAAGTTTAGTATGAGAATAATGGTTTTCAAACTA